ATAATATTGAAGGCATTGAACTTTTTAATTTCAGAAATTCAAAAGTATAAGTCAAAGTAGTTTTTTTTTATTAATATTCTTGGTCAAAAACACTTTTAACCGATGTAATTTTGTTAAAATCACTATAACCCAATATTTTTGCAGTTAAAAATGGTTTTGACCAACGTCCTTAACCAAAACTACTTTTGACTGCAAAAATCAGTTAAAAGTGATATTAACCAACATCCTTAGTCAAAACTATTTTGCCCGATTATTCGCAGTCAAAAGTGGTTTTGACCGATTATGAGTTTTGGCTGTAACATATATACGAAAGAAACAAATACGATATACATTTTTTTATAGGATAAGAGTGACAAGCGAGCACACAGTCCACCTGATGGTAAGTGGTTGCTGTGGCCCATAGACATCCCCATTTATCCTCGTTTGCGAATCAAAATGCGGATGCGTTGTCAGCCGTGAGGACTAGAATGGAATGCCTCTTTTCCAGTAAGAAGAACCTTCGGTTCTTTACACTCACCATATGAATTACAGCAGCATTAAGCTGCTATTTTACGCTGGTATTCTGTGAGAGCATGATCCTTCCCCAGTCGAGTCGCTCCATTCGTGCTACAACTATACTATTAATATAGCCGAAGCATTAAGGCTATACCACGTATAAAAATATAATATAATTAAGTACATAAATTCAAATGAGATATAGGTTGATAGTTATAACAACTTTTCTTCTAAATTAATACAGTAATAATAGTAGAATAGAATAGAATAGAATAGAATAGAATAGAATAGAATAGAATATTTTTTTATTCAATATACATTACATGTGTAATTCTTATTGAAAGTCATTTTTTACTTTACCACTGGTTCGAAAAAAACCCTCTATCCTGGGAAGAACCAGCAAGAAACCCAGCGGGACTTTTTTTTTAAATAAATTTTACAATATAAATGATTACGAACTATTTACAAAATTTATTTTAGAAACTGCTTGGAAGCGATCACCTCATTCCCAGGGGTTATTATCAACCATGTATTCATTTATACTATAATAACCCTTTTTATACAGTTTCAGCTTAATAAAACATTTAAACTTGGTAATAGATAATATAATATAATAGTACAAATAGATACCGGTTGACCCTTTACGATGATACTATAGCTTAGATATTTTTCAATTTCCTTGTATTATTCATTTAAATTTTATGAACTCGATCTGTCAATAAATTCCACTAATATGAAATTAATTTTAAACCAGCGGCCGGTTCATGGCCAAGGGCTTTATAAAGTCATTGATTCTTATTAAGTACTGCATATAATTACAATCTCGTTATTTTAATGGCTTTTTATTTATTTTTGAAATTTAAAGTTTCCTCTAAAATAATATCCATTCCGTAGGCTTCTATTATTACCCTATTTTTACTGTATGGCAAAAAGTAACGTTTTTAAAAGAACTGTATCTGCGATTGATCTTCGTCACGGGTTATTCTGTTTATCCACCCTAAAAAATTGACCTTAAGGTGGATACTCGAAAACATGTATTCATATATCCACCCTAGACGAGGTGGTTAATCGTCGTATATATTATTTTTCTTCCTATTTTCTCCCTCGGCTGTCATTTATAGAAACATGACAAAAGGTGGCCCAATCTTAGTAGACATTATCTATAAAAATATATGTATATATTATACTTCTTGTTTAAATGGTCAACGATGAAATAAAAGGAGTGCCTCACAAGATTACAGGTTCAATGGAATCTTGGCATAGAATAATTTAAAATGGAAGTTAAAAACAAACATCCAGTAGTAACGTGTTTGGAATGCTGGCAAAAAGACGTCCGGTTCTTCGCTAAGACATCTGTTGTAAAAAAAAATTAGAAAATGATTGCAAATGTACATTAAAAGGGATGAATTTATCGAGGATATCAAATTACTTCTACTCAATAATGAAATTATTGTTGTTATTGCCTAGGCATATTGCAGAATTTATAAATTACGTAATAATTTTATTTAAAACGAAGAAGTTTTATTTGATTTAAATGCAATACGTAACGCATAGACTTTAATAGGTTTTAACGTAATATATTATGTTTTTTGATTGAGTTTATACGTGGTAGAGCCATGCTGCAGCTATATTAGTAGTAAAGATGTAGCACGAATGGGTCGGCTTGACCGGAATAGGACCACGCTCTCACAGAATACCAGCGTAAAATAGCAGCTTAACACTGCTGTGTTTCGTATGGTGAGTGTAGAGAACCGGAGACCCGTTTTACTGGAAAAGAGGCATTCCATCTTAGTCCTCACGGGTGACAACGCATCTGCATTTTGATTCGCAAACGAGGATAGATGTAGATGTCTATGGGTCACAGTAACCACTTACCATCAGGTGGACTGTGTGCTCGTTTGTCACCCTTATCCTATAAAAATAAGTTTGTGGTTATTAAAAAATAATTAATAATTAAAGTGTATGTATTGAACTCTACTTGGGGTAAAAAATCGGATGAACAAATACGCGTTTTCGAGTGTCCACCCTTGGGTGGATTTTCTAGGGTGGTTAAACGGAATAACCCGTCGCCACTCAAGTCAAGTGGCTCGTATTTTTCTCGCTTAAAGGTTATGTATAGTATAGCCATTCAGCGAGGAAACGCAGTGAGTGTTATCATTTAATTATAAAATATATATTTTTTTAACTAAGATATTATCAAGAGACTTGGACCTTGGTTGGTACCTCAGGGCAAGCAAAATCGCAAATTGCGTAGCACGCAAGCAACCTTCATTCGATCACCGCCGGCACTAATAAAAATGTTATTGCAACTTTAAATGCTGGTTGATCACGTGCTCACCGGTTAAAAAATATATTATAATAATATAATAAGTTGTGACGTTCGCCAACACACACTGGTGTAGTACCGCGGACTAGCAGCTCCATAACCTTTTTAATATTGAAAGGAAGTCCTTGCCAATCGGTAGAACGCATTATAGGCTGTAACTTATTTATTTATTTAAACTTTATTGATCCTTACAACAGTATAAAATCAAAAGGCGGACTTATTGCTAAAAGCAGTCTCTGCCAGACAACCTTAGGGCAATGATAGAACTACGAAGGCGGTTACAAAGAAATATTGCTTGCGTGTGGCTCCAACGACGATGTGTACAGCTGCCCATAGAACCTCTCAATCTCACGCAAAATATCTGGTTTCCCTGAAATGATGCTGCCACACTCGGTCTTCAGCTTCGACAGTTGGCTCTTTCTGTCAGACAGATCTCTAGCAAAGACTTTGGAGCCCTGGTTCCGCTCGATTGCTTCTTCAATACGAGCAGTATTAAAGTTGCGTAAGTCCCGCCGCATGCATTTGGAGATCCGTCTGTTCAATTACCTGTATGCTGTCAAATCTAGTGAAGACTGCAGCTTCATATCCCGTCTAACAGCTATGAGATTAAGAGTGTGATCGGAGAGTTTTGTATTCTTCTGCGGCGGGTCTTGCAAAACTTAGCTCCAACCGCACGGACAGTTTCCACGAGCTTGTCATTCATATCGTCCACTGCATTGCAATCTTCTAGGCAGTGAAAACGATTGCGTAGCTTTTATTTAAATAGTTAGTTACACTAAAATTACCTTGGCCTTAAATTTGTTCTTATACATTATTAATAAACTAAGCAATAGGTTAAGGGCAGGAAATATTACGGAACTTATTAATATGCACATTTTAATTAAGGTGATGTTGCTTCGGAGCTTAATACAGTAAAGGTTCTAACTTAATGAACGCACTAAACAGGCATTTAAATATATTTTAGTGAAGAAATAAAGAAACATAATTTGCACAACTGTTGCTAGAGTTGCAAAAATTTGAACATCTTCAAATTTCTTCAATCATACTTTTGGTTACCGCTGTTGTAATATGGAATGTGATAACCCTATTTTTTAGTGTTTTTAAGTTACTACTTTGGCTACAAAATATTTTTATTCGTGTATCTGATGAAGTAAGGTTTATTGCAGCGAGATCCTAACTACTGTGTTTTGTATGGCATTTCATTTAATTCCTCAGGGATAACAAAGTAACAAAGTATCTACGTTTTGATTCTTAATTGAGGATAGATGTAGGAGCAAGTAGGTAGGATGCAGGAGGCAGGAGTAGGTGAGTGCAGATTAAACTTAATATGGATACTCAGTTCACTCAGGGATTGACACTCGTTTGATATTACTATTCGGTATACGAGCAATTCACAATTTTAAGAATGGGAGAACGTGGTGTTAAAGGAAACGGTCGTAAAAAAACCTATATACACTGACATTATCGATTCTCCAAACTCCATCATAAATAAAAGAAGTTCTGTGGTACATACGACTGGCCACGCAGAAAGTTTTGTGTAAAAAAAGTTATTTTGTATGGCCTGGTACAATTTAACCATAGATATTTTTTATTACGTTTCTGTTATTTTCTTTTTTGTTACAATTTACAATGAATAAGAATTAAAAAAAAAGGTAAAAAAACTGTAAACAAATTTTTGTAAACTTAGACTAAAAAGAATCCGGAGGTTATTTAAAGACCTATATTGCATTATTTACCAGGTGCTCGGCGGTGAAGGAAATATCGTGAGGAAATCTGAATGTCTGAGAAATAAGAAAAAAAATATTTCGAAGATATGTGAAGTCCGCCAATACGCATTGGGGCTGCGCGGCGGATATTTTCTTGGCCTAAAACCCTCTCAGAAAGAATAGGAGGCCTATGCCCAGCAGTGGGACGTACATAGGCTGTAACTTTAACTTAACTTTTAACTTTATTTCATAATGTCATTTTACCTTTTTTGACACGCTCGGCAGGCGGGATGACAACTGCAGTTCTTTATAATTTTTAATTGTTATCTGGAAAGTGCTGCCTATCTCCTGTTTCAGTTTTACTCTGTTGCCTCCTACAACACTCACTGGTCGATATGGGATAGTGGATATTCTTACACCGCCACTACATGGTGTGTAATATTAAGACTTGTGAAAATAGATAAAATGCGTACCTCTGTTCTACTGTTAAGTTTGCCAATTCAGGAACCCAGCACCAATGTTGTTCGGGAACAATTGTCATAAAAATTTGCGCGAAATAAACGAATGCAACGAAAAATGCAAATGGTATCATTAACAGAAATAGAATCTTTTGGTATAATCCAAATTCTCCCACATATGGCAACAAATCATCGAAGTCTGTAGCTTTCTTTGAACTGTCTTCCTGAGGATTATTTTTTGTCCTTTCATTAAAATTGACGTTTTTCGTATTGGCAAGGTTGTCTGTACTGTCATTTGTGTAGCCTTTATTCACAAAACTCCCGCTTAAATCGATGTTTGATAAGTTGTTGTCTATGCTTGTACATTGGCTTTCGTCCTCTTGTTCGCAACAAGGAGTTCGCTCTTGTGGCGCCATCTTGTTTTTGTAATTTAATTATTTCTCAGAGGTTGGATGCTGTGCATGCTCTATTTAAGTTTGAGTGGTTTTATCTGTAACAAAAGCAAGTTATTAGCAATTAAGTATAATTAATTTCCGCCAATCTCTTTTGTAATTGCTTAATTATATTATGGATACGTCATTTTAATTTCAGAGAATTAAAGTTAATAAGAGTTAAAATTATTTAGACGGCCTTTAAATATTAATCGCATGCAAAGTGCAAATCTAATCAGCAGGCTTATAGTTTTTAGAAAAATGTTACATTAGTGGACTATTAACATTTCTTTTTTCTCCTTTTTTTTAGAGTTTTGGCGGGAACTTGACCACCGGCGAATTGTTGCAACTGTTTTATCGTAAATAATGGTTTAAATTAGATTATGTTAAACATGAAAGTGATGCAAGTTTTTTTATCCGCCTTAATAGCTTCCGATATCCTGATTATCCTGGCAGGGGCGCCACGCGGCGTGGGAGCTAGATAGAAATAAGAACACGTGTGTAATGTTTGGAAGTACGGTTATTACTGACTACAAATTAGAACCAGTTCACCAGTTACACTACTACCCTATCACCTACGGTCTGCTGGCTAAAAATGTCATCGAAATCTCGCAAATACTCTGCAATATTATGTATTAACATATTGCGGCATAGTTTTTTAAAAAAAACTGTTAAAATGGATTATTTCCTATTACTTGACACTGGCCAAAATACAACCGTACGCGTCCATTAGCAAAGAAAAATTTAACTACTTTTTAAGCGTGGAATAGATTGTGTTACAAATATGCGAAGTGTAGTTGCGCAGTATTTGTTTAAAATATGCAAAAAAGTCGGCTCAAATAATGTATTAGATATAATAATCTATGAGTCGGAGTATGGTATGAAGTCGGCTTTACCTCTACTAGATAAGGAGCACACTCACAGAATTACATATAATTCCGGTGTTTTGAGGTATTTTTTTTCTCTTTATTTATTACATCGAACAAGTGTTATGTTATAAAGGCTTTGTAAATTATTTGTTATTGTTACGTTCGGGAATCAAACCCGCAGTCTTTGGTGCAGCTAACGCACTACTGTGCTGTCGTATTTGAATGTAGCTAATGCAAAGAAACAAGAAAACAATTTTATGCGCATGCTTGAGTTCGTATTATACAGTGTTATTATGCAACAACCGGCCAAATTTGCAGAATGTTCAGTAATTTAATAGGTAATATAGGCAAATGGTGAAGAAAAGTTAATTTCTTTTTTATCTTTTAAATTAAAAATGCGTGGTAATGCATTATTTTAACTGATTTTACTGTTGTACGCACACATTCGTAAGGGTCGATCGGTAGACAAAAACGTTGTTGGTCATAAATTACATTCAATTTGGGATAATTTTAAATATAAGTAGAAGCCTTATTTACTCGTATTTTCAAAAACTGCAATTGAGATTATATTTTGGCTACTCTTAGAAATATAACCCTGTATAATATATACCAGCGATCCGCCCTCTGCGTCGCACGGGTGGTTTCTGGTTCTTGCCAACAGCGCCACCTACCGGGCCCAACTATATCTAAGATCCATCCAGGTTATCCAGTAAGTACCTCATAAAAAATCATCCAAATCGGCCTGGCAGAGTTTGTTCTGCCCTATTCGGCGGGTGACACATACAGTTTTACTTTGAATTCACTGAGAACTTTTTAGAGTGTAGCTATAAAATTTATTAAATACTAGACCACAGCGCCCCATATCGGTTCCAGATTTAGTTATTTTCTATTTTTAGCTTTATTTGGAGCCACCTATTGGATCCTAGCACAGCTATGAACCATCTACTTGATGAAACAATTTTAATGTGTGATTATGCCGGAATTTTACCGGCTAAAACCCCACCGTGGTCACCATTAGCGTATACGGGTCCCGGGATCTCCCTTCAGAACGCAAGCGGAGCGATCCTTTCGCTTTGCTTTGCTGAAAGTACGTCACGGGGTCAGTATATAGAACCCTCGCGGTGCTATCACGGTGTCTCGAGACCACGTCCGAGTCATGGTCTGCCTAAGAGATAATTACTAAAGGTACTAACAAAAAACTTAAAATAATAACTTCGAATCTACCATTCAAATACTATCTTGAAACCAAGCACAAGAATTTTAAGCTTACTTTTGAACGTGGAGAGCCACGCTGCAGCTACCACGCTCTCACAGAAAACCAGCGTAAAATAACAGCTTAATGTTGCTGTGTTTCGTATGGTGAGTGTAGAGAACCGGAGGCCCTTTTTACTGGAAACGAGGCATTCCATATTAGTCCTCACGGGTGGCAACGCATCTGCATTTTGATTCTTTATTGAGGATAGATGTAGTTATATGGGCCACAGTAACCACTTACCATCAGGTGGACTGTGTGTTCGTTTGTCACCCTATCCTATAAAATAAAACTTGGAATGGTTATGCGGAATATTAGTAATGTTAATCTCAGTGCGAGTATATATTTTTTAAATAAAATGATTTTCACTTGAAAAGGCAATGGAGCCTTCTATGCCGTGGTATTTTTAAATATTTTAATTTTTTTTATATTAAATATTGTCATAGCGACAACCCGTCGGCAGAGGTGGTAATGCATCTGTGTTCCTTTTACCACGTTTTTTCTAACTCGCATTCATGTATGTATATTCGGGTCGAATTCAGTAATTGATTTTAAACTAACTTCCCGATGAAATAGATTCTTGAAATTTCGAAAATAGCTCTGAATCTGATGGCAATGTAAGAATATGAAAAAAAAAATACTTAAAATAAATAACATATTAAAAAAAATATTTTAACCATTTATCATGCGGTGGACTGTGAGTTCGTTTATCACTTAAATGTAATTAAAAAAAAAACAATTTGATTTAAATACGCTCGCATTTGTAAGAGCGCATTAAGTTTAAAACATACGACAGCAAGTATGTACAATTAAACATTTACCGAACAAGGTTATTATTACAACACGCCGCGTATTGAGTAATGTATCGCAAGTATATAAGTCTATTTGTTATTTAAGGAAAATAGTTAAGCCTTAACTACTTATCGCGGACGCAGGTACAGTATCGGTGAATATATCTCGATAGTACACTTGGTTGAGCCAATGCGGGTACGATTCCCGCGCAGAACACGTGCTAGTATAGCCTCCAAATAATTATGTGCCACCTTCATAGTTAAGGAGGTGTTTCCAGTGTAGGGTATAAGTTTTTTTATAGAATAAAGGTGACAAACGAGCACACAGTCCACCTGATGGTAGTGGTGCTGCGGCCCATAGACATCTACATTTATCCTCGCTTATGAATCTAAATGCATATGCGCTGTCACCACTGAGGACTAAGATGGAATGTCTTATAGCCACTAAAAATGGTCTTCGGTTTTCTACACTCACCATACGAAACATAGCAGCAGCTGCTATTTTACGCTGGTATTCTGTGTGAGCGTGGTCCTCCCCGGTCGAGCCGACCCATTCGTGCTACAACCATAATATAGGTGCAGCGTAGCTCTACCAAATTAATACGAACCTTCTCATATTTTTGGGAGTTTTTTTTTAATTTTATTTCTCAGACTTGCAGCTAGTTTCTTCACAATATTTTACTTACCGCCAAACAAATAATCGGCACGTATATATGCAATTAATAATTTCATGGATGGCGGCGCAGATCGAACTGAGATTACTCGTGTGTTATAGCGAGTGCTTAACTGTTCAGTTACCAAGGTTTGCGTATTTTGTACGATCTTAATAAATAAATAATAAGAAAAAATGCGTGAGTGTCGTGGAACACTCGGTTGGAACGAAGTTCCTTTCGTAGTATATTATTATTGATAAACGTAGGTATTATATTATTGATTAACAAATACAAATAAATTAATTACTAGCGTCTATTAAAATGAAGCGTCATTTGAAATAAAATTATATTTCTTTCATGGCAAGATAAGAAAAAGTGCGAGGGAGATGGATATTATTCCATCTCACTTCCTTATTTCACCGCCAAGGTCGTCTACACTATGACACAAGGGGTAGTGACGAAAAAATCTTACACTTTTTATCGCCTAGCTACCATCCGCCAAAACCGTACCGTCCGATAAGGATCTTCGTTTCAATAAAATTTAATCGGGATGGAAGGAAAGTGAGACACACTGGCACAAATATTGCAGACGTTGACATCTTTTTTTTTTTGCTTTCTTGGTTCTTAAAACTTCACTGCTGGGAATCTCCCTCCCATTTTTGTGTGCATTTGCTTCATTAAAATCGTTTGTTTGTTACAATCGCTGTTTTGGTTATTTTACGTCTGGTGTAAACAAAATGGTTATACGCCGTTATGAGGCCATGAAATCTTTTTGGATTTTCCCTTAGTTGCCTTTTACGATACTCACGGAACGAAAGGATTGGTTTCTCTCACGCCGCCAGCAGATGGCACTGACTTAAGGTACTATAATATTAGCGTCTTTATTGTTTTTAGGTTTACAAGGATCCTAAGAGTATTTTCTCTCCTTCTATCTAGGATACCATGCAAATACTTACCACCGTTATACTTTCTGTCTTCTTCCGTCAATATTAAATTTAGGTCATTTTTAAAATCATACAGTCGTTTAATTTATTTCTAGAGCAAGCACGTATTGTTGAATCTAATGCAAGATAACATTTTTACAAATGTTAAGCCGTATGAGTTCTGAATTTTGATCGTTGTAGGCAATAAGTTTCATTACCTAAAGCCGCGTCTCCACCAAAGTTTTGTTGTCAACACAACAGTTGCCAACAAAACATGTTTCCATTTTCGGCGGCAACATCAAAGGAATACGGTTTTTGCCAACATTTGTTCCCTCGGTGGAGACGCTTGTTGACAGAAACATTTGTTGGCAACACGTGTTGGCAACTGTTGTGTTGGCAACAAAACTTTGGTGGAGACGCGGCTTTATGTTCACAAAAAGCAAATAGATGAGAAAGTTGCGTTTGTTAAAGTAAATGCATATATCTTTGAGAAGTTT